TTCATAAAACTAATATTCTTTGTCTTCAAAATGAGTCTGGTTGCTTTTGATTACTGTAGTGAATAACAGATGTACACCCAAGAGGTAGCACAACTTTTGTTTTCCAGTGACAGAAAACAGTTATTTATAAGAATTTAATGAATGTATTTTGTGGCTCCAGCATGGAGACTCAGTAATCCGTTTATTTACTATATTATATTTTATTTGTTCTCCAAAGGGTGTCTTGATTTTCATTTGCTTCCTTTTTTTACTTAAGTAACAGTTCCATTAAATAGAGTTGCACTAACAGGAATTCCAATCTACCTTATGCTGATACCATTGTGTTTTCCTGCTGTTCAGGCACTAGTATTGGTGGAGCCAGTAGTGTCTAGGGACACTACACCTAACTTGATAATGATGGTTTTACTAAGCCCTTATCCTAGCCAGGCCTCTGGGCATTATACAGATAGATAATTAAAATTTGATCATAAGAAATTATAAACACAATGCACCTTAGCAATAAGATTTTTCTACTTTTAAACATGATTTTAAAAACTCATTTTAAAAATACATTTCCTTGGCCTCGTGAATTTGTTTTCTTTTTTTCCCAAGGATTACAGAAAGTGCATAGCAACTTCAGCCTTCAGAATACCCAGGAGCTGAAGACTCAAGTAGGCTACAGCTGTCTTCACCCACACTATTCTAAAAGAACTAATGAGATGAGAAGTCTGCAGCTGGTGGCAAGCACAATAAACCATGAGCCAAGGGCTTCTCTTCATCAGAGCCTCCCCTTTCCCCATGGGATCCCAAAGGAGACAGAATACTAACAAAGCCAGCAGGCTGTCTCATTCCACACTATTGCTCATTTGCAGCTATAATTGGTAGCTGAGGTTGCATTCTGTATGCTGAAACTGTCATACATGAAGGAATATATTTGTTCACTGTGATACGGATATAAATCGGCTAGTTTTCAAATACAGGAAGACCAAACTAGATACCCAACAATAAAATTGTAGCAAAGATGATAGATTCCATTATAAAATTAAATGTTTGTTGCAGAGATACAAAACTGAGATTGTTAAAACTACATCTGCTTCCTGCTTTTTAATATCTTGCTACTTAATTCAACTGATTAGACATTTACGTATTCAAAAGAACATAAAAAAGCACAAAAATTTCTAGGTTTTGACAAGATGCATTGTCCTCATCTGTCAAGGTTAAGGTACTATTGTTAATAATTGGGCTCTGTTATGTTTTTCAGTATAATATCTTTAATGTTTGCTGCCTTGTGTTCAAGAGAAAAACAGGGAACACTTAGCTGTGGGGTATATGTGTATCTGTATGTATGTAGATTGTATATGCGC